CGTTCTAAACTTGTCGCTTGAACCATCTTATCTTTGCAATGTTTCGGAACCTTTCAAGAGCGCATGTGGTTTGATTTGGTGTAATCAGCGACTGCACGAATGCTCGCGAACGTCTTCAAATATTGGCTGCGAATGCTCTTGGACTGTGGTTAACAATGGAAAACAGAGAAAACTGATTGTTCATGATAAATTGGCTCCGTGTTTAGTCAAGACATTCCGGGAAGTTTCCAAAGGCGAAAAGTCGCTGAAAAATGTGCACCGTCAACGTCTGAAACAAGAAGTCCGAGGGAGCATGCTGTGCATTGTCCATTTGCGGCCTTAATAGCCACGGAGCAGCATCTCGCCCAACATACAACTTGAAAATCAATATCATCTTTGAGCGAATACTTGGTAGCTCACACACGCATCGCTTTCCCCAGGAGAAAATCGTCCGGCAAAGAACGGACGGTTTTCCACCCACTGTCCATCCCCGTTGCACCGAGAAATACCGACGGTGTTTAAATATAAAGCAGTGGCGCATCTTTGGCCCAGTTTTTAACAAATCGTTATCAAATCTTAGCATTTGAAACACCGAAGGCACCGAAGAAAGACGTTGTGTGTTAGTGGGGATGTTCGATTTCTACAGTGCTCGAATTGTACATTAGGTATAAATTGCCACAAATTATCAAGCAAATTAAAGGCTCAAGTCGTTATTTTTGACTGCTAAGAGTTAATTAGCACTAAGAATACCTGCAAAATGGGTTACTGAAAATGGAAAATTGTATTGATGAATAAAATAAGATTTCTTGCAAGAGTTAAGACTGAATAAAAAGCTGTGGGTTTTCACTGCCATTTTTTACTTCGAAAACTTTCCAATTTTAGTTAAATGCATACATGTTGAAAGGAAGCAAAATTTTGGCGAAATCAGTTTCAATTTTTAAAATCGCGAAAAATATGGTTTTTTTTCAAAAACATCTAGGTACCAGCAACTGGTAAAATTTTCGCAAAAAAAATTCGAATGCGAGTTTTTGGCTGCTTTAGATCTTAGGATCTTCCGAATTCCGAAAATTGGTGATCAATTTTTCCTGTCTCAATTTTTAAAATCACTGTTTCACTTTTTAAAATTTTAAAAAGTAAAATATGTTTTTATTCGAAAAAATCTACCACCGACCAATAAAATATTCGCAAAAAAAATTCAAATGCGAGTTTTTGCCTGCTTTCGATCTTAGGATCTTCCGAATTACGCAAATTTTCGGTGTTTGGAGTATTTGAGAAATTTGGTTATTTTCCAAAGCATCTTTCCACTCTTATAAAATTTCTGTTTCTATATTTTTTCGGCTCAATTTATTAATTTTAAATTGAAAATCCCTTACGTAATTTGATGGTCACAAATGGCTTTGCAGTAAACAGAATTATTTAGAATTGTTATTCATATGAACCAGAAAATTATATGAAGGGTATAGAATTCAGTATAGAGACTTGAAAAGTTTTTTAAGCGAGTTTTTGGCTGATTTCGTATTTGCGAGTATTTGGAGCATTTGAGAAATTTGATTTTTTCGAAATCATTTTTCTACTCTTATGAAATTTCTATAGTAGAATTTCGTACAAACATGTCACACACACCCTGTATTTTAAGGTGATATTTTTCGGCTCTTTAGTAATTTTAAATTGAAAATCCCTTCCTTCTTATGAAATTTTGGGCAAAAAAAAAGTATTTCACATGCGAGTGTTTGGCTGCTTGCGACCTAAAGAGCTTCCAAATTATGCAAATTTACTGTATTTGGAGCATTTGAAAAATTTGATTTTTTTTGAAAACATTTTTCCACTCTTATGAAATTTGTATAGCAGGATTTTGTACAAACATTTTACAAACACCCTGCATTTTAAGGTGATGTTTTCGGCTCTATTTAGTCGTTTTAAATTGAAAATCGCTTGCCCATGAAATTTTGGACAAAAAAGAATAAAATTCAAATGCGAGTTTTTGGCTACTTTCCACCTAAGGAGCTTCAAAATTATGCAAATTTACGGTGTTTGGAGTATTTGAGAAATTTGGTTATACATTAGGTATAAATTGCCACAAATTATCAAGCAAATTAAAGGCTCAAGTCTTTATTTTTGACTGTTAAGAGTTAATTAGTACTAAGAATACATGCAAAATGGGTTGCTGAAAATGGAAAATTGTATTGATGAATAAAAGATATCTTGCAAGAGTTAAGACTGAATAAAAAGCTGTGGGTTTTCACTGCCATTTTAATAAACAAATTTAGTGATTTTGGAAAAGTCGTGCCAAAAAAGTAGACAGTTTTTCCCCAACTTTAGTTTACTTCGAAAACTTTCCAATTTTAGTTAAAAGCATGCATGTTGAAAGGAAGCAAAATTTTGGCGAAATCAGGGAAAAAATTACCTCCAATTTTTCCTGTTTCAATTTATAAAATCGCGAAAAATATGGTTTTTTTTTTTCAAAAACATCTAGGTACCACCAACTGGTAAAATTTTCGCAAAAAAATTCGAATGCTTGTTTTTGGCTGCTTTAGATCTTAGAATCTTCCGAATTCCGAAAATTGGTGATCAATTTTTCCTGTCTCAATTTTTAAAATCGTGTAAAATATGTTTTTATTCGAAAAAATCTACCACCAACCGTTAAAATTTTCGCAAAAAAGATTCAAATGCGAGTTTTTGGCTGCTTTCGATCTTAGGATCCTCCGAATTACGCAAATTTTCGGTGTTTAGATCATTTTGAAAAATTTTATTTTTTATTTTATGAAATTTTTGACTACAAAAAAAATTTATAAAATTTTTGACGACTTGAAAAGTTTTTCAAGCAAGTTTTTGGCTGATTTTGACCTAAGGAGCTTCCAAATTATGCAAATTTACGTTATTTGGAGCATTTGATTGGAGAAATTTGATTTTATCGAAATCATTTTTCTACTCTTATCAAATTTCTATAGTAGAATTTCGTACAAACATGTCACAAACACCCTGTATTTTAAGGTGATATTTTTTCGGCTCTAGTAATTTTAAATTGAAAATCCATTCCTTCCTATGAAATTTTGGGCAAAAAAGAAAGTATTTCACATGCGAGTGTTTGGCTGCTTGCGACCTAAAGAGCATCCAAATTATGCAAATTTACTGAATTTGGAGCATTTGAGAAATTTGGTTTTTTTCGAAAACATTTTTCCACTCACCTTCCTTCACTTTTCTTCACACTTAGGAAGAAGTAGGATTTTGTACAAACATTTTTCAAACACCCTGCATTTTAAGCATCACCTTTTTTTGGCTCTATTTAGTCGTTTTAAATTGAAAATCGCTTGCCCATGAAATTTTGGACAAAAAAGTAAAAATTTTAAATGCGAGTTTTTGGCTACTTTCGACCTAAGGAGCGTCAAAATTATGCAAATTTACGATGAAAAATTTGGTTATTTTTCAAAACATCTTTCCACTCTTATAAAATTTCTGTATCTATATTTTTTTCGGCTCAATTTATTAATTTTGAATTAAAAATTCCTTACTTAATTTCTTGGTCACAAATGGCTTTGCAGTAAACAGAATTATTTAGAATTGCTATTCATATGAACCAGAAAATTATGTGACGGGTATAGAGGTCAGAATTTCATTCTTAGTTCAGATGAAATTCATAAAATCTTAATACAAAAACAGTGTCAAAAACGGAAAACAAAATGCATCACTAATCGAATGTTAATTAAAACGCGAATTTAAAGGAAATAATAAAGTTACACAAAAATTTGAGAGTCTAGAAGATGGATGAAAAGCTAATATTTGAACACCTCCTTGTACAGATCGAATCCTGGATCTTTTCGCATCTACAGACCATTGAATGAATCCGAAAGGATCGTCACCATCTCGTTATTGATAGAGCGCGTCTGGTGTGAGTTGGAACATTAGCAATTCCACGTAAGTGCATGTTTCGCGATTCCGTAATGAGAAAACTTCTTTAATATAAAAATCTCAATTACTTCCCGAACGATGCCGATACAAAGGTCTTCGTCGGAGGTCCGGTGGGTTATTTCTCGGCCTCGAGGGCGGCATAATCAGCATCGGATTAAGCTCGATCTGCACCGATCAGACATGGACCGGTCATTATGTGGGCAATATTGAATTGCCTGCTGAATATTCATGAATAGACTGCTTCATAGCTTCTGGCTCTCAATTGACACGAAGAAGTTGCTCGAGTGGCATCGAGTAGGGCTGAACCGGCCATCCGCTTTACTGAAAATCTTCTCAGAATATACGCGTTTAATCGCCTACAACATTGACTGGAATATTTGCAGTCTCGTGACCGAAAACTTCTCAATCCTTCTGTGCATGTCTGCTATCGCAATGCATCCATTCGATTCTATTGGGACCGCCCTACCCGGTTCCTTCTACTGGCTTTTTTCCTGCAAAAAAGTCCGCTAAATAATTCACAAAGTTCCGGTCAGAATTAGATTTTCCCCAAGTTTGACATCGAAGCAGGGCCCTGGAGCTCGTTAAATGTTAACGTCGATTGTAAAACTGGCCAGTTATAAATCTTCCCAGGCCCAAATTATATTTGTACGAAAACATGTTTTATGTTTTTCCATTTCCTGCAAAATGGATCCGATCCATATTTTATGAGATGGCTGACGAACGAAATTTATCACCCAATAAAGTGATATTTACTGCGATAATATCCCGTTTTTATTTCGAACGTTGCAAAAACCCCCATATGGCCGGGCAACTTTGGCGTTTTGATGGGATGCTGGATTATTTAAAATTCGCTTTTTCAGAACTTTCATCGCTTTTATTGCTGCTTATTTTTCAGCAGTTGAACCAACTCGAAGCTCTCTTACTTCGGGTGGTTACGATAAAAGGTGTAAATTCATTCATAAAGTTATGTTGTGTACACGAAACAGCTAGAAATCAGTCAGAAAGTCAGTAGACTTAATTTTTTTCCATAGACTAAGTGGATTTGCCTTGATGCTGCTGCCTTAGCTACGTGTTTCCACAGCAATAAGTCAATACTAACTGCCAGTTTACGAAAAATGTACTCCAGAGACAGTAGCATTCGACTGCATCAAACTTTGCCCACCCTCGATCTGGAATATCCGCCCATTCCAGAAAACATCTCGAACTGGGAGAGAACCAAGCTGAGGTTCCACCATCTGCTGCTGGTGAGCGCCACGCACCCAAACACCATGGAGTACTTCAAAAGCGAGGTGGCAGTTCTGCAGGAGAAAAAGCGGCATTTCGACAACTTCAAGTACACGGTGCACCCACTGAGTAAGTTCAACCAGATCTACGAGGTCTGGTGCTTCTTCTTCTATGGCATGTTGCTCTTCTTCAAGACCTACGATTTCGCTTTTATCCGCATCAACATCACCAACCCGTTCTCGAGCCGTAGTGGCATCACCATCACTACAGTGGTGGTGGATGTTTTGTCGCTATTGAACATTTTCCTTCAGTTCTTCATCGGTTACACTGTGCAAAGATTGAGATATGTTGAGCTGGACAAGAGCAAGATTTCGCTGCGGTATTTGACCAATGGGCTTTTCTTCTGCGACTTGTTTTCTTCCATCCCGCGCGTTCTCACATGGAACTCCAGTCCTTTGGTGTTTGTCATTATTCTTAGTTTGACCCTGCTGAAGCTGCGGAGGATCACCACTTTTATTCGACTGCTCCAGCCCACAGCCAGATTCTTCAGGATTAAGTCCAACACCAAAACTTTTCTTTTCGGGTTTTTCTTCATTGTCGCCCTGATTATGCACGTGATGACTTGCTTCCACGTAGGGATTCCTCGCTACAGACTCACGCTCACTTTGGCCCCTTTGAATAGGTCTTACGTTACTGGCTATTTGCTGTCTTTGCCCCCGAGCAGGCAATATGTGATAACGTTTTTTAAAAGCGCCCAATACACCTTTCTCATTGACATTCCTTATTTGAGGGACCACTCGCTCCCTGAGGAGTTGAGCTTTTGCTTCATCAACTACATAGTGGGGAAGCTGCTCATCGCGGTCATTTGGATTGTTCTGCTCTACACCTATATGTCCCAGCGGGTTCTGCGGGTTAAGTTCGAAGAGGTGATGACTGAGCTAAAGGAGTACATGTTGGCCAAACAGTTGCCTCTGGACCTGAAGAAGAGGCTGATTTCCTACTACAGGTACAAATATCGGAATGTTTTCTTCAATGAGGTGTTCATCCGGACAGTGCTGTCGGACAACCTCAAGAGGGAGATTGACGTTTTCCTGCGCAAATCCCTCATCAAGCAAGTCTCGATATTTTCGCAAATCCCCGCCAGGACCGTAAAGCAGATAGTCACGCATCTCATTCCGGAAATTTACCTTCCAAACGACATGATCATTCAATCGGCCACTTATGGGGACTGCATGTACTTCATTGAACGTGGCACAGTGGCCGTTTTCACGCCCTCAGGCAGGGAGATTTGCCACCTGAATGATGGCGCCTACTTTGGCGAAGTCTCCATCATCATGCCCGATCAGAAACGCACCGCCAGCATCATCGCCATTGAAACCACCAGAACGTTCAAGCTGCGGAAGGAGCATTTTGATGCGTGCTTCCAGAAGGACGAGCAAGTCTACAGCATGCTGTTGGAGTCGGCTAAGACGCGGATCGAAGAAACCAAGCAGATGGAGCTGAATTACAAGCAGCTGCTGTTTGAGCAGATCTACGCGCGGCCTTCGGACAGTCTTCAGGAAGACATAGAGGACGAGTTGGTTTAGGATGTGCTTGATTGTTTTGTGGTTTTTCTTAAATAAATTAAGATTTCCAGCTGTTTCAGTGCAAGAAGGGGATTGTTGGCATTATTGTAAGATGCAAAGTTCCAATGAAGTCCATAAGAAGTTTGTACAAATGTACAACGTACAAACGCATTCAACTTTAACTCTTTAATGTTCAACAACTTTAATGTTGCGCCGAACCCTCGGGCATGAAAACACTAAATTTAGGATATAAAACGTTCTAAAACGTCCTTTTTCTAGTATGGGGGTTCGGCACAACTTTTAGTTACCAGTTAAAGCCTCATATTGTGCCGAGCCTTTCGAGCCCTGGTAGGAGAACAACAGCAGAGAAATGAATCAGTTTGGATGATTTTTGCATGAAAAATCAGTGTCGTGCCCAAAGGGCTCGATACAGCAAACGTTTTTAACTTTAATCTATGTCGATGTTGTACCTAAATTTTCAGGCGCGAAAATTTTTACACCGATTAAATTTTATTGCGTTTGTTGTGCCGAACCGAGACAGTTTTTAAGAAAAACCTACATATTTATACGTAAATATAAAACCTGTTGAGATGTTTTAACGATATTTTGCATTAATGTCAATATTTCTATTGAATAAAACATTTTTTGTGGCGGCTGTAGCGCCAAGGCATTCATTATTTTTGAAGAAACAATGGTGCACCACTGATTTATCAAAAAAATGATGTCACCTTTTCATTGCGTGTACAATTCTAAACAAAAAAGCTCTTTTGAGTTTTGTACGTAAAACGGCTAATTTTCGAGTAAAAAAATACACCTAAATCGTATTAATGCACGTCTTGGAATCTTTACATTTCAATACAAATTAATTCAAATTAAAATTTATTAATTAGAATAATTTGCATGTGTTAACATTTTAAATAAATCAAAATTAATTCCTGGGTTTCAGTCATTTATTGTCTCTATTTATCAATTAAAATACGTTTCGGTGTTTTCCACCATCATCAGTTTTTCTACATTAACAGATAGTTAAAAAAAAATTTCATTAATTTAAAAAACAATCACAGCTTCATCATATCACACAACAAAATACATCACAATTGCAACACTTTTATGACACCCTAAAGTTTACTCTCGAAAAAGATAAAGGAAATTCTATAAGCTTTCTAGACCTAACAATTAATTATGATAACAACGGGGAAATCAAAACAAATTGGTACACAAAAGAGGTATGGTCTGGTAGGTACCTGAATTATCAATCGTACGCTCCAATGAAATATAAAAGAAGTGTAATAACGGCACTTACAGGTAGATCCATTAAATTGTCACATTGGGAGTAGAGAACAAAAATTTTTGAAAAAATGAAAAATATATTGTTAATAAACAACTATCCAAGGTCATTTTTTGAACCAATCATAAAGCAAAGGATAAATAAAATATACAATTCAACTAAATGGAAAAACATAAATAAAAGAAGAGAAGGTGATATCAAGTATGTATCATTACCATATATTCCGGAAATTAGCACAAAAATAAAAAATATATTCAAACCACATAATATCAACATAGCAGAAAAAACTAAAAACACCTTAGCAAATGAATGTTTCACAAAATTT